GGGTTGGTCTTGTTTTTGGACCACCAGATCAAAATATCCCTTTAAAATATAATCTGTAAATAATATGATCATAATGAGATTGGAACAGGGGCCGCAAGTGTTTTTATTGATAACTAATACTGAAAGTGAGAAATAGTCCATTTCAATCATTGTAATAAAGCTGATAAAATAAAATAAAATAATGAGAAATGCTGCTTTCACAACTAAATTAAATAAAATGTTTAAAAAAGTTCTACGTTTTAAAGTATTAAAATTACTAAAACTGAAATAAAAATAAATTCAAGCTAAACAGAAATATCAAAAAAACATTTAATAATAAAGACAAATGCATAGAGCAAACTGAATTAAATTTAACTGAACTTAAATTAAAATAAACTGAAATTATAAAAAGTTAATTGATCAATGGTAATAAATACTATAAAGGCCGGGACACACCAAGCCGACTTCAAAGAACTAGCGGTGACGAAAGCCAACGGTGTTGTCGCCTCACGTCGGCAGCGTTGGACCAAAAAGCTGCGCTCGAACACACCGCACAGACTACAGCCGACGGCAAACTAACATGTGCGTTCTGCGCATGCGTGAGAGGAATTAACTGTCTATATCAGCAGCTATCAATAAAATATATTCGTCATTCAAAAGGAGAAACCGAAACAAAGATATACGAGATAAACGCAGATATACGAAACGTAAACAAAGCAGCGCTTGCTTACCATTTTGAATATCAGTAACGTTGATAACTTTAATACATTTTAAGCGGCTCATGTTGTATGAAAACATTTGCGTATTAGAATGATTGGGAAAGATCACGAAACATTTAAACAGCCTTCTGTCTGTACCGCCTTCATTTACGTGCTTGTTTTCATCACTTTCGCTTTAATTCTCGGGCACTGACTCGTTCGCTAAACTGAACATCCAATCAGAGCTCTCACTCGTGCCGACGGTCCCGACGCCAATTCAACATGTTGAATCGGGCAAACTGCCGCCGACGTGAGCCCGACGTGAGCCCAACAAGAGCCGACGAGTGGAACACACCAAACAAACTAACCCGACCGTCGCTCGCCGTCGGCCCGACGTTGGCCAATAATAGCATATAAATATTACTAAACAACACTAACACAATTTCAGAGAAAATTTAATTGAAAAAATAAAGTAAGATCAATGTGACTGCAATCTGTAAAAATCAATTCCAGTGGCAACTAACACTACATTTTTAATGGTTTCTGCTACTAGACCGCACAAAGATGGAGACACCAATCTCCAAAATGTGTTCGTCTCACATTTCAACAGTCTTTGACCCTAGAAACACAAAAGGACCACCGGCAAGTTTTACTTCAACACTGTTAGTGCCTCTTTTGATGATGCTAGAAATGCGTCGGTCATTGCGTTGCCACATCTGCCAGCTCGCTTTCAAGCTCTGCCTCATGCTCTCACACTATCCAACTAAATCTCAGGCCAAATTACAAGACAGCGCAAAGAAAATCGCTAAATCTGCTCAAAGGATTTTCCAACCAGTGCAGGACTTGTTTGGTCTAACACAGATATTATAAATTGGACTGGTCTAAAGAGGCAGGATTCTGCATCAATCAAATTTCTTCCAACACTTTCAAAGTGACTACTACATAGCTATCTGTCAACAGCCGGACGGAGAACATGAAGAGTGTTTGTGTTAGAGGAAGCATTCTATTCAGCTGATGAATTTCACAGCGTCACGGACCAGGCACGAGATCATTTTGTTGCGTATTAGGTGAATATGTGCACTGTGGCTTGAAGATTCTCTGTCAATCACTTAGAGAAGTGAAAAATTATTTTGTAAGATAAAAAAATGCATTTAAAAATGGCAGACGCCATAAGAGTAAACCACACTGAGAAATGAGCATGACCCAATTTGTCTATAACTTCAAAGGGACTTATATTCATAGAGTGTAAGCATACATTTTCATTTTGAAACAATTTGGTATAACCATGTATAGCTGAACAAAACTATAGCTTTAACTTCAAAACGTGTATGCATACTTAGAAACCTAGAAATGAGCAACAAATTAGATTAAAATATTAAGCATAAAAATGAATAATTCTGTCATAATTTGCATACAGATTTACCCTCACATTATTCCAAAACTGGTATAACTTACTTTCTTCTGTGAAAAAAAAAAAGATATTTTGAAGAACACTGGGCCCAAACAATTTCGGACCCCACTGACTGTCACTGTACGGACGAAAAAAAAAGAAAAAAAAAAGATTTTTTCAAAGTATCTTTTGTGTTCCACAGAAAAAAAGAAAATCATACAGGTATGGAACGGCACTAAATTTTGTGTGAACTATCCCGTTAAGCCATAATAACACAGAGAAGACAGTGTTTTTACAGGTCTTATAAATAATGAGGACTGGCTTAACACATGTGGACTGCACATATAGGCTTCGCTGTGCCTGTATAAACACATATCAAGACAATGCCAAGGCTCAGAGACAACTCAGACAAACAGAGCAGTATCTGAAGTACTGTTAAACATTAGCAGACATCTTTCAAACCGCACTGAGAATTCCTGTGTCCTTCAGAAGAGCCCAAAAAAGAAATGGCCAGGTCATATTCCACCCAACATCAAAAACATGAAAAAAAAAAATATATATATTTTTTTTTTCTTTTTTTTTTTAAATTGTGACATTATTATGGAAGCTTTTTTTCACCACGAAGTAAAAAATAAATAATTGTAATAATAATAATAATAATAATACACTTTTCCCCCTCACAATTCTTGAAATTGCCTTTTTTCAGAATTTCAAGATATAAACTCTAAAAAAAGAATTGTGATATAAAAGAATTGTGAGATAAAAAGTCACGATTACTTTTTTAAATTATTTTCAAAACAACTATGCATTTTTTTTGTAATTCCCAATGATTATTGTAATTAGATTCTCACATTACACAGCATTTATTTTTACTACAGTAAACAATAAAAAAAGCTTCTAGCTTTATTTTATATAAAATAATTTATATTTTAAGTTCTTTATTTTGGGGTGAGATTTGCCTCAAAATAATGTTTTTTATTGTTTTTACTTTGAATACGTGCTTATATTGTGAGAATATATTTGCATTAGTCTGGTGTGATAGATACATTACCAAATGTCAGATTAGGCAGTGTGTGTTCATTCTCCCACTCACCAGACAGCATGCTAACAGCTGCTGCAACCCTTCTATTACTGAACAGGATTTACAGTGGCAACGACTCCCCAAATTATTTATGAGCTCCCAACACAGCCGCATACGGAGCCCTATCACACAGCTCTCCTACACCCAGACCCCTGATCACCCCCCACAACCAGCAATGGCAGGACCTTTGGCCTCCAGAGCCCAAAGCACAGGCCCCACGCAAGGTGCTGACAATCTGAGGAGCCTTTCCAACATCAGGCCTTAAACACAAAAATGACAGCATCAGATCAAATTAAAAGCGCTGAGAGGAAAGATGGGAGGAGTTATTAGGGCAGTTCAAACTAAAACAAGACATTGACTTTTTTAAATATGGAGTCTACCCTGATCCAAGCTTTAATTTTGGTCACAAAATGCAGATTTCATTAATAACAGTTGGCAAATAATGCTTTTATTCATGCATTAAATTGATCAAAAGTGACAGTAAAGACATTTAAATGATTACAAAATATTATATATATTTTTTCTATTAATCTAGTAATCACATTTTTCTAATAATCAAAGATTCTTAAAGTTAAAGAACCTAAAAAAAAAAAAAATCAGTTTCCACAAAAAATAAAAAAATAAAATAAACAGCACCACTGTTTTTCAACATTAAGGAAATATTTTTCTTACATTTACATAAAATATATTAAAAAGAAAACAGTTACATTATATTTTATATTATATTAGTTATAATCATATACTAAATTGTAATAATATTTGACAATATTACAATTTTATCAAATGAATGCAGTTTTAGTGAGCATAAGAGACTTCTTTCAAATACCTTACCGCCCCCAAAGTGTACACACACACACACACACACACACACACACACACACACATATATATATATATATATATATATATATATAACCATGCAATCTAGTCACCAGTGTATTAGTGTATTATGCATCATTAGCAAAGTATAAGCTATTAAATTATACTGTTTAAAAAAGATAATACATCTGCACTAAAGCATGGATAAAACATCCACAGATGAGGAGAAAATGGCTTCTGAAATTAAGTACTCATAAATTAAACACTCATCAGATAAAATAGTCTAATAAAATGTATTTTCACATAGTTCTGGGAAATAATACACACAGATCCAAAACCTCAGACAGAGAAAATCCAAAGAAAAGAGAAAGCAAGTGAGAAAACAGTAAAAGAAAGACAGAGCAGAAACGTAAAAGTGGGTCGGGAAGGGAAGAAAGTTGAAAAACAGTTAGGATCAACAGTTAAGAAAGGCAGCCGCCTGCTAAAACAGAGTTGACAGGCAGCACTTATGACAGGCCGGTGTAGAGGCAGCAGTTTTAGTAGCCAGCCCACATAAACAGCAGGTCATCGCCTCGTGAGGCCGCCATTGTTCTGAGGAAGCAGCACTACTCTGAAAGCAGTGGCTTTAAATTATATTTGGACCAATCAAGTCAGATTTTCAGCATAAAAAAAAGATAAGCACAAGAACACAAAATGGGCCAATGCATATCCCCTGAACACCAAGTCCAAAGTATTGTACAGCAATGACCTATCTGTTTTAAAAGCCAGACCAACATATTTGGGAGAGGACAGGACAGGACAGGACAGGACAGGACAGGACAGGA